TTGTGTATCATTATTCTCCATGTCAGGGACAAATGCTCCATCTCCAAAGAGTTAAGGACATTTAGGTTGAACAGGTGACTTTGTCAGCCAGTTAAAGCAAGAACTATGCCATGAAACGAGCAATCCCATAAATCCAGTTGTGGTTTTTTTTTTTTTTTTTTTTTTTTCAAGAATACCAAAAACAGGCCTGCGTGTGCTAATCTTCATATCAGTGTTGAATTTGCCTGAAAGGAACAGGGAAGTTATCAAGGCTGAGTACTAGTCCCAGGCAAGTCCAAGCAGCTCACATATGTTCAGTAGCTTTATTTCAAAGCAGTTGCTCTTGTAAGTGAAGTCTTCCCAAAATGCATTCTCTCACCTGAGAGTGATACAAATTCATTGTGATATTGAACATTCTCAGATGAAGTTTGAAGATGATGCACATGTTGTCTAATTCTTCTGAAGCCAGCTACTACTCTGTATAGTTAAATAAAACAATACAAAGGTGGCACTGGGAGGAGTGGACCTAGCATAGGAGTCAGGATGTCTTGAATACTTATCTCACTTCTGTTCTTGGAGGCATTGCAAGAACTTAATAATCTTAGTTCTGTCAAAAACATGCAACTGCTTGCCCAAAATAGCAAATAAAAAAAGAAATATATAGCCTTACACCAGACCATAAATTGCAGGTTTAACACTTTGAGATACCAACTCATCATTTTCAATGTAAAGGGAAAAAAAAGTTCTGCCAACTATTCACCTGAGAAGGTGGATGAACTCCATGAACTCCCTGTATTTTTACATTTGTTCTTTCAAGAAAAATACCAGTATTTTTGAAATGGCAAATGAGGGTAGAAAAGGAGCCAGTGTGTTTGTCTATTCTCTATGCCACTTACTTTTAGCCCATCAGGCCTCTCTTAGATGAGAGAAGCTAAAAAGGAAAAAGAGGACAGTCACAACTCATCACATTGGCAGCCCCATCCTTCCTGCGGGCAGAGGTTAGACAGTGCTCTCTTTGGCATGGGTAACCTGCTGTAAGCGTCTATAGGAAATGAAAGAACTGAATTATACGGTAGACCTATTTGGGAAAGCCACTAATATCCTACACGACTCATCTTTTGTCATAAAACCAGAAGTATTTTAATTAAAATATTGATGCATCCAGTACTACTAGGCATTAACTTAAATGTAAGTGAAACACACAAGTGAATTGTTGATACAATTTCTTGTCAACAGAATACAATTACTATGCGCTAGCTGAAACTTTAATGTTTTTTTCACAAGTAGATGAAGGAAAATGTATTTTAGTATTTTATTCTGTGGTGCTTAAAGTAGTCCAAATGCAGAGGTTTGAAAAAACTGTATTTTTGCTCCATTCAAGTCCTTTTTCTATTCCTAATAATCACTTCCTTTCAAATGGGTCTTTTACATTTATGTAACAGAAAAGAGCAAAAATAAAGTAATATTTTCAGTTTGTGTAAAGGTTAAGGTTTGTCTAATAATCTTGTCAAGTGAAAAACACACATAGAACAGTGTGGTTTAGATGGTGGCCTAATTGGTGGGGAAAAAAGCACTGAAATGCGGCATTGAGAGCATAATTCAGCCCAAGGTACAGTGAAACCAGACTGCACTAAAATGTTTTTCTTAGAATCGAAAATTTGGCTCTCCCACTGAAATGAGATGAACAAATAAGAGCTACAGTAAAAAGCTGTTCAATTTCATGCTTAAGAATTGCCTGCTTTCATTTCCACAGCCCGATGAATTTGTTTGAATAAGTATCTGAGATGGGCATCGCACTTGAATGCCATCAAAATATTTTTAAAGCAGTCTTTTCCACTGATAGCATGAACTAAACTGCCACCACATCTACCCTGTAGAAGCTAAAGTAGCATTTTATTCTACAAAAAGATCCTGCTTTGATTATTTTTCCTCCTATTATTGGTGGTAACTTCTCCTTGTCCTCAAAGGAGGTAGACTGAAGTAAAAAACAGAACTAAAGAGAGTGTGCCACAAGAATGGGACAGAGCTCTTTGCTGCCATCCATTTTAACTCAGTTTAATGGTAAAGGTACCTCACCAGGGTAAACTTGCAGTTTGGGCCTAGAAAGGACAGCTTTTTTTCATTCCACAATACATTCCACTATATCTGACTGATACCTATTCAGAAACTAGAACGTTAATTCCCAAATTTGGATCTGAAAGTCATCGACAGCTCATAAGGCCATGATGGGCAGCAGTTGATGTGTGGAAGATGACCATAAAACTACTTAATTAGGGTGATGAATAATTTTTACCTGATAATGTTTACTATCCCAAGGAATGGGAGAAATGATGAATTAGGATATTTAGCTGTGTAATGTAGGCAGCTGAACGAGGAAGAAACAACATCGAAGACTCTATGGGTAGTGAGGCAAATAGCAACATAGCAATTAAAACCCCAATAGCTGCAACTGAACTGCTACATTTTATCCACAGGTAAGTAACAGAAATCCATAAACTGGCAGCCTCTCACAACAAGAGAACAGCCTAAAATTTCAAGCTTTCTCTTTAAACTTTTTTCCTAGGTGGCAGCAGCGAGTCTTTCTTCCTTCTTCCACAACTCCAGGCTGTGACTTCGTAAGGGGGCAAAACCAGACACGAGAGATGCTGAAATCAGCATTACAACAGCTTTTCCCTGCAAACATGGTCTTTAGCTATGAGTGCTTTGTGGAGTATAGTTGTCCCCAAAATTCATGCAGTAACCTATGCCTCTTTAGATTGAAAACAAGAATGAGTAAATTTGTTAGTATTCAGGCACTTGGAAACACCTGCAATGTCATCTCATTCAGTTATGGTCCTCTCACATCAGAAGGTGAGACAACGCATGGCTCTGTAAGTGTCTGCTTCTAAAGCATGGGATAATATCTGGATGAGGAACACTCAACAGTGTTAAGTTTGCCCATACTAAACCTTCTGTTGCTGTCCCTATTTTCAGTAGAGTCTGTGTTATCAAATCTTCTTCAAAAGCTATGCCTGTCCTTCACAGAGATGTCTTATCTGCACTTCATACTGGTAAGAACTCTGTAAAAGCAACTCAAAACAAAAAAATTGCTATTGGCCAACTTTCTTCTAAAATGATTAAAATATCTGTAAGAAATGAATCTGAACTGCTGATGGAGCGGGAAGACAAACTATCCGAAGGCTCCTTCTCCAGTTGAGCACCAAAAGTTTTGTATTTTTAGAACTACTAAGGAGAAAAAACACATAAACCTTTTTTTTAAATTTATTTTTAGAAAAATCACAATGTTGATAGGAGGTTTTAATAAGTAATTTTTAAGCTTGCAAAAGCTGAAAAAGGATTCAAAAGTCTGGTTAGTTACAAGCTATTTTGAGCTTCCCCTGCCATTCTATTCCTAACAAACACTGACTTATTTCTGTTTTCTCCACACTTGGCATTTATAAGAGATACCTGTTTATTCATTCAGTAAGCAGTACATTTTTTTTCTTTGTATTTACATAGAGCATATGTTTATATAAAAATCATTTCTGCACTCTCAAACACACTTAAAGGTTTTAGCACTTTTGTACCAAAAGCAGAAAAGGGGCAAGAGGTTTACAAATTAATTCCGTAACAAAATACTAAACTCTGTGTAAAGCTTTGTTGCAAGCTAAGAAACATGTACAAGAAATTCTTAAATGAATTATCCTTGGCATACATTCGTATTTGAATGCACAGATATATTTACAGGTTTAATATCCAAATTCATTAATGACTTCTAAGATGTTTCATGAAATGTCATCTTCCTGAAGAACTTTGTCAGGTAGCTAAAGCACATTAGTAAGACACATATTGTAAAACTGCATGGAAATTTGAAACAATTAGAATGAAAGCCAACAGAACTGGTCAGACTCTTCCTTCCAGACAGAACTAGTTATTATTCCAAATTTAGTCCTTTAGTTGTTAGGAGTTGCAGTTTTTCATGTTTCCACAGATCCTTGAAACCTTCCTTTCACTTTCAAGAGCAAGAGCACAGCTCTCAAGTGCTTTCAAATCAAAAGGATGCAATCATAGGTCATCATCCTGAGGGCAATCCTTCACGAGTCCAAAAGCACTTCTCACACATATGCTATTTATACTGTTCAATGGATGCCTGTGGAGTGGGGATGGGTTGCTCTGGTCACTCTTGCTATTTTGTACTTTTGACCTGTAGTGCTGTTTCTGTCCCTTCCATGGGTATGATACACCTTCTGAATTCAACACTATTTTATGTTAAGCTTTTGGTTATGGAAGTTGAAACACGTTTATCCCACTGCCCACACTTCACCCACAACTGTTCAGACAATGCCAAATATCAATCTTGCCAGATATACAAAATCCTGTTATGGTTCTGGTGTGCAAATCAGGCTTTTCCACAACTGACCAGCTTGGTACTTGCTAAACAGGAAGTGCCAGAAAGGATGAAGGGTCTGTATGCACTAAGTTTGTGTTTTCTCAATCTGTACCAGACAGATGCAATGAAAAAAAAAGCAAAAACAAAATCGATTTTTTGTCTCTTGAATGCTAAAGAACAAGTATCTCTTCCCTGGTGGCTGATCCAGGCAGCTACACAGATTGGGGTCAGCAGCACCCACGCCCAGATCCATCATTCATACACAGTGAGCCACGTGCTTTCGGGTGCCCACAACATACACCAGGTTGGCTGGTTGGTTGGCACACTCACTGCACACAGGATATTAAAAAAAAATGTCTGTACTGCCTGAAAGCAATGACGTAACAAAACCTTAACTGCTTATTGTTTTTGGAGAGGTAAGGAAAAGTTAAACATACCGAATGCACTTGAGACACACCCAGCTGTCACAGGAGCAAAGGAAAGAATGTAAAGGCACAACATACTTCTATGCTCCTGTCATTAAGGCCATGTATTGGTGTGCAACAATGCTTCACAGGGCTAACCATACAGAAGTACTCAGGCCTAAGTCACACTCCCAGAGATGTTTCAAACAAGAACGGTTTTCTAATGCAACTTCAGACTCTGCTGTTCACTTTATGCTTTTTTTGCGTCCTTTTTTTTTTTTTTTTCCAGGCAGAATGCAGGCTCTCTATCCAGTTTCAAGATCTGTTCTTCATCACGTTTTCTTTAATTCAGTTCTCCAGAAGTGTGCGCTGAACTAAGAAGTGAAAAACAATTAAAGATTAGAACACTAAGTCAGCATACACTGTAAGTTATGTAATAGTTTATGTGGACAACAAAGTTTCAGTAGGCATTTAGCACTGTGTGATAAATTCAGGTAAGCAGAGCTTGATTTTGTGAAGCCAAAATGCTCCACACCGACATATATTACATCCCAGATTTCTCACTCAAATAACCACATCCTACTACATCAGGGAAGATATCTACACTTGCAGTTTCAGGCTTGCAGTTTTTGCAGATGCCAACATGAAACGGAGTACAGACTGCGTAAATGATAGAAAAGTAGGTTACTGAAACAAAGTGTCTAGGTTAACTGTATTTTCAGGAAGTCAAAGATAAGCCTACATAAAATTTTAAAAACACAAATCTATTCTGCCGTGCCATCTGTCCTGGCTTAATAAAAGACCTCTTTGAAACTACAAGCTGTGTAGGTACATCAACACTCTACTACCAGAAGCAGAGCTCATATATGCTGACTCCCAGAACTTAGATCAGGAGCAGCACCATTCTGACTATGGATGCCCAGTTTCTTGGCTCAAAACACGATCATGCTTGTCTGCAAAATATAACAGAGGTATGAAATATGGGATGTAATATTGACATCGATACATAGGTGGAAGTAATCATATATGACAACATCCCAAGTTTGACCTTACTGGTTAAAATAAAATATGCATCATCTGACACATTTCACGTTTGAGTTCTGGTGAATCTTGGCCAAAATTTTAGGATATCCCAACTACAAACTCCTATTTTTAACTGCCTTTGGTATAGGTCTTAGAATGATACCGCTTGCTTCACTAATGCATCACTGAATTGAGGATACCTGCCTACCTCCAGTCCTGACAGCCAGTCACAAGAAAATGCTTTGTCCTTTAGAGTTTTATGCATTTAACAGCTTAAAGGAAAAGTGTTTATAAAGATGACCACAAGCCAGATGGAAGTTTTTAGCAAACAGATGGAATACCTGAGGAAAATACAATATAATTGTTGGGTTTAATTATGAAAGAAATAGAAATAATACTGCAGATTTTAAACTCACAGAAGAACATACTGAAATTATATACTGCTTTGGGATTTTAATATTCAGTATTTCAAAAACAATCAGTAAACTTCAGCATGAGGTTATACTACTTCTTCCTCTGTTGACCAGCCACAAGGACCAGAAGACCAAGGTTTCACCTATACCGTTTTCTCCAGATCTATCTATGGTTTTCCCAGAGTTTAACACCTGTTCCATCAGCCAACACCCTGGACAACCACATGTGGAAGGGTGAGGTTGTCAAAGTTTTTGTTGCTTTACAAGAGACCCTTCCACAGCTGTCACCTTTGTAGAAAGATCAATTACGTGATGGTTCTTTCATACCAGAATCATTCCCTCTTCACCACAGAAAATGCTTTAGTTACAACAACATGCTAGTGAGTTTAGTCCTCCTCGCCTCCAGGGCAGTTATATCTCTATTCTGATGCCTCAGAGCTTTTCAGATTTTTTAAACTTTTGTAGATTTTAGAAGTAGTTGTGTAGTAAATGTAGATTTTAATGTAGCTGTATTATATCCCTTATCCTGTAGCATAACAGTTACACATACCCAACCCTGTTACCCCATTTCATATCAATTCCTCTAAATTCTGTTTAGTTTTCCTTTCAAGGTAGAATTTTAGAAGAACACTTCTGTTTAAGAACATAGCACCCTAAGCCTGGACCAGGAAGTATCACACAGACACAGCAACCTTCAAGCCCAGAGCTTCGGAGGAGCTCCAAGGACTATACATGCTGTGAAGAAGACGAAGATGAGGAAGAAGGGGTCCCAAAGACCCTAAATCCAATTTCTGAAGGGGCGAGTCAGGGGGCAGAACCAGGGTTGGACAGATCTGGGATTGGTGGACCTTATTATAAAATCATAGACCCACCGTCTGGGTACAAGCACTTAGTGTTTATTTCCCTGGCCTGAGGCTGATTAAAGGACCAACTCTTTTTATCTTATACACTAAATTGGCCTAAAGTCTTTTTCTCCACAGTCTCTTTAGGCAACAATTCAAACATAATTATTTTTAATATACATTCTTGCAGAGTTCTGTATCAGCCCATAATAAGAAAAGGTTTCAGATTCCAATCAGAAAGAACATACACTAATAAATTGCTAATTGCAGTTATGTACCACACTAAAGGAACGGGCTTGTGTTTTCATATTGTCTTAATACTTCTGCAGAGAAAATTAATTTCTTTACTTTCTCTAAGTTCCTGTATTTAAATGACTTCTCAAGGCAATAAACCATTCTGTTAAAAGAATAAAAAACCAGAGAAGAGTGGCCACATTTTCAGAACTAAGTTCTTGAGTTAGTTCTAAGTTTGTTGTCATGATAGAGTCATAGAATCACAGAATCATTTATTTTGGAAAAGACCTCTACGATCATCGATTTTAACCATTAACCCTGCACTCCCAAGTCCACCACAAACCATGTCCCCAAGTGCCACATCTACACATCTTTTAAATACCTCCAGGGATGGCAACTCCTCCAGTTCCCCAAGCAGTCTGTTCCAATGCTTGGCAACCCTTTTTGTGAAGAATTTTTTCCCAAATATCCTATCTAAACCTCCCCTGGCACAACTTGAGGCCATTTCCTCTTGTCCTATCATTTGTTATCTGGGAGAAGAGGCCTCACTACAACCTCCTTTCATGTAGCTGTAGAGAGAACTGGCCCCTGAGTCTCCTTTTCTCCAGGCTTTCCTCCCAGCTCCTCCCTCAGTCAATTCTAAGAGGCTCCAGACTCTTCACCAGCTCTGTTGCCTTTTTCTGGCTCCAGCACCTCAATGTCTTTCTTGTAGTGAGGTGCCCAAAACTGAGCACAGGACGTGGGTGTGGCATCACCAGTGCCAAGCACAGAGGGACAATCTCTTCCCTAGTCTTGCTGGCCACACTATTTCTGATATAAGCCAGGATGCCATTGGCCTTCTAGGCCATCAGGACATACTGCCAGATCATATTTTGCCAAAATTGACAGTTATGAGTGTTTTTTTTTTTTTTTTGACAAAACTTTGCAAATAGTTTTCTCCACCATGTTAGATGTCAATAAAGTACATTTGATAGGATCCCCACCAAAAAATTTATTGTCCATCTAGATTCTTGTCTTACCAGGCGGCTCAGATTGTGCTCCCCTATGGCTATCCATATTCACATTCTCTTCATCTGCTGGGAAACAAACAGATGTTTAGCATTCAAATTCCCTTATATTCGAAGTTACTGATTAATAGAGATTATTTGACAGAAAAAACAGAATTGAAGAAAATGGGCTACTGATAGCAGGTAGTTGAGTTGCCCTTATTTTGCCTGCATGTTAATTTTAACATGCATGGTAGAGGTGTTACTCAGTTTCAGAACTTCCCATACTACAAAACAGCAGTGCCTGGCTGGATGACAGCACTACCCCACGCCAAACAGTCAGAAAGACTAAAAGAGACAAAATCAAAGCTTCTTGCCTCTCCTATCACCCACAGGATTCCCAAAGTTCTCTAAGTTATATCTTATTTAGATGGAAATAAAGCAGGTAAAAAGCAATAGATGACTGCAGTACAATAATTTGGGGATGACCATCAGGGTAGTTGTCATAAAACCAGTAAGTAGGCAGACATCTTGCAAAAAGACAAAGGTAAATTTTACAAAGTTAGAAGTGGCAACATATTTTTTCAGCATTAAAATAGTCTCTAATCCGCAATCTCCACTCAGTTTTTCCTTAAAAAGTATTTTCTTGCAGTCTCTCCTGCTTTCATTTTAACAAGAAGTGCTTTTATTTTAGAAAATGTAAAACCTTAAGGTCTTCTACTTCTGAAAGTCTAATTTTTGGGCAAGGCATTCTTCAGTCACCCTGTCGTAGATGAATAGTAAGAAAGGTTACTCCCTGTGAACATAAGTGCACTGGGCTATTAAAACTACCCTATGCATAGGATCAGTTTCTAGTCCCCATATAAATACAAAAACACATCTCTTTAGACAGTAGAAAATAAAATTAATTTAGAATTCTTACCGCTTTGTTTGAAACAGAGTTTCTTCTTCTGGTAAGCAATGAAACTAGACACTGCTCCAATTACAGTAGCAGCCACAGCACTTACAATTCCAGCTATTGCTCCCTTAGAAGCTGAAAAACAGAGAGGTTTGTATACATTTTTCAGAATGGAAAGTCACATCAAAATTGTATTCTCTCAAAGTAAACCCTATGAACACTTCCAAAAATCATTAAACTGAAATTACATGAAACTGTAATGATCAACTCCTTCTGTCTTTATGTATAATGAAAAGCGCCTTCTCTCATTTTATAACCATTGATTTCTTAGCAATGCCTGTTGTTGAGGAACTTAAGCACTCCTGTTCCAATTTCAACTGATCAAAAAAGCTACCCTTTCATGGCCATATCTACTTTGCATGCATGTGATCACTCCACCAGCACCTCTAAGACCTTAACAATTATGAATTATTTGCGACATAAAGATTTTACAGGACTATGAAAGCGGAGCTTGATAGTAAGAATTCCATATTCCACAAAAGTTTTTAAGTTGTAACCCACTCCCAGTAGTGGACATTCTAGTAGAAGATAAGCAACACAGAAACCTCCAGAAAACAAACTTCATACATCCAGATGCCATCACACACACAAATTTAAGCATTTACCCTCATCGTCTTGGCCATTACTTGGAGTCTGGCCCCTTCGTTCTGTAAAAATGAACAGAAAGGTTTCATTTTACATGTCTAAGGAACAGTCATATCATAATTGACAATTAATATTTGTCAATTAATTATGCAAAATTACAAACCATCTATTATATCCATACAGTGCTAAACTCTGGCATTCAAAGTTCCTGTTTTCGAAGTACAGCTCACGGTGGTGTCAACTACAGCCCTGAGTGCTCAGCACGTCTACAAAATCAGTACAGAGCACATGTAAAATCTGGTTTAACCAACTTGTGCACCACCACAGAACACTGTATTTCCATGGAAACAACTATCTTTTCCTAAAATCCCAGCCTTGTTTATTAAATACCTTTGCAATTCTCTTTGCAAGCAAGACAGAAATTTTATAAATACTAACTATATTTGTCACAATGCAATTTGTACCATTGCAGAAGGAACCCGTGCAGATGAAAACACCCCACAAGTCTCCACAGGCATTTCTTGCCCCTGCCAATTTTCAAGATACTGCCCCAAACAAATCTTGAAAGGTGAAAGCTACCCAGAAAAGAGGCATAGGTAATCTCTGTCTAGGATAACTCTCTGAGGAAGTCGTAACCACTGGCACACCTCAAACCCCATCAAGATACTTCAGCTAACGCTGATCTGGAAATAGTAAAAGTTCCAGTAACACACACAGGGATGACCAGACACATCCTAAGGATGACCATTACTGCAGCCCGGTTCCCATGACCACCTCTGTACTGAGCTGAGCCACAACGATTAGAAATGTCAAATTACTAAAAGAAAGTCTGGCAAGCTATGAAATGGTTTTATTCTGCTCAGAGTAGATATACCCTATAGAGAATCACATGGCTGGAAAGGACCTTAAAGATCATCTAGTTCCAACTCCCCTGCCATGGCCAGGAACAACAGCTTGCTCAGAGCTCCATCCAAGTTGGTCTTAAAACACTTCCACGGATGGGGCATCCACAACTTCTCTGGGCAACCTGTTCCAGTGCCTCACCACTCTCACAGTAAAAACTGAAGACTAAGAATCTCCTGAAGTGTAAGAATCAGTTCATCCTTTGGGACAAGGCAAATTTTTGAGAACATGAGGTGGATCTTCTTCTGGCCCACCTTTAGACTTCCTAACTACAAGAATTAAAAGAAACTGAGAGTGTCACAAAAGATCTAAAAATAGCACCTGGAGGACTTTAAGAACTACTGTATTTATGGTAAATTATGAAGTAAGTACCACATTCATGTCTCAGTTTTAAAAGCCATCCTTCTCAGTATAACAGTAAAAATCATGAAAGTTTTACCCCTAGACAAGTTTTAGCTCTTAATTATTTGGTTTGTTTTTTTTTTTGGTAGAGACAGAACACATTACTTTTGAACTCAAAGATATGCTCTTAAGTTTCAGATACCAGAATGAAAGGTGTTACAAATCAGAGCATGGAAGCAAGCTTTTATCAAAAACTCAGGTAACCATAAAAACAATATGAAGCACGATCTATTGTCTTACCATTGCTGTCACTACCATCACCTCCTCCTTTTGGTAAACTGCCATCAAATAGATCTGCATCATCAAATGTGCCTATAAAAAATACAAATAACATTACCTTACATGTTTTAAGTTCAATGAAAAGACACCTCAAGACACATAATGACATGGAAATTTTCTCAAAATTGTTCAATTGAATTTGCGCTGGTTTTAGGCTCAGCATCATAGTCACAACATGTTCACATTTTAAAAGCCCCCACGATGTTAAGTCCCTTCAGCTGAGCACTACACACTTTGACAGCAGTGCTCCTGCCTCTGGACTTTCTGAATGAACGACTCAGAGAAAAGCAAGAATAGCGCAAATCAGGATAAGCAAGCAAGAAGCCCTATAAGCTACTTAATTGGAATAACCCAAGTCTCCCTATGCTGTGAAAGCAAAGTAAGGACGTGGACAGGAAAGAACCATTTCTTTTCGAGGCTGCAACTGTGAATGAATCTTCAGAGTTGGGTTTCTTAGTCACAAACAGTCCAAATGTAATTCCCTTCTCTGATTTATTGCAGGACACTGGACTAGTCCCTCTCCATCTCCACTGAACCCTACCTTATGGAGCATTCCCTTCTCCCTCATGGGACCTTCTCCTCCTTCCCTCTACTGCCAAATGAATCTTTAGTTTATTGAAAGCAAGTATGTTTCAAGTAGCAAAATTAAAAGTATTGTATCAGAGGTTGTTTTAGTTGGGTGGCAAAAGCACTGCACTGACGCATGCAAGACCTAAATTCAAGTATCTGCTGCAAATCAGAAAAAAACAAGAACCAGGGCTGGCATTTCAATTAAGGACTCTTTACCACGATGTTCATGGATAATGGCATTTTCACAGCTGCATCTATCTAAATCTGTTTTGTTCTGGGTGAGGCAAAGACCTCTAAAGCACAATAGGTGGGGAAGGACTATCTTTCAAATACAAATAATTGCATTACTTAACTGGGCCTTTAAAAACAAACAAACAAAAAACCAAAACAGTCCTTTAACTTGGAGCTTTACCTTTAATTTAGATCCTTTAAGAATAAAGATCATGGGTAGTTCCTCCTTACCTTGTAGCATGACTAGAAGGGATTCAGTTTGTAAAGACTAAAGAACTCAATCCAATACATGGGTTCTCCACCACAGGCAGCCAGGCATAGCATTGCCCCAAGCACACACACACACTCCCATCCTGCCTCCTCCACACACCATCCTGCTTTTAAGTGAAAGTGACTCAACAGGTTTGTTATGGAATTTCAAGACTGCTGCAAAGCTTATTTGCAAGACAACTTTTCATCAATCCTCAGTGTTTATCCAGTGCAACATCCTGACATAGCAGCCAATTAACACAGATCAATTAGTAGAAGTGTAATTGAGGCAGGAAAACCCTGAGTGGATTCAGGAGTTTGTGCTAGAAGCCTTACCAGTGTCTTTAGGTTGATCTTTCTTGGGGTTATCTACATGCAGAGGAGAGATTTAAGGGGGAAAAAAAAGAAAAAAAAAGGTTAAGATATAAAAACTGAACTAAAATACAGTAATGTTGAAAGGAATTGGGATAGATTAACAAATACTCTTCTACTGTTCAGAAATTCCTTTAGGTCAGTCTTACCAGTGACTCTAGGTTTTGCAGGAGGATTTGGCTTGGGACCATCTGTAGACAAGTAAGAGTTAGAATAAAGTTACCAGTGTGAAGAGACCAAAAGCAGAGCATGCAGTGACCTTGAAAGGCTCTGACCTAAAAATATGGTATCAAAACCTCCCCACGTCATTTTTCCTTTAACTAACTAATGCTGTATTTGTTTGGTTGTTTTAGCTAAACACTGTATTTTAATGCAGTGTTTCTGCTATATTAACCTGTATGTCAGATCCTTGCTATAACTAACATATACAGAAGAACTCAAGTGTTATGCAGCATTTTAATTTGCACATTTTATTGCAAAGACTGAAATTCTTTACATTTTTCTACCAGGTATAGATTACTTGGCTGTCTTCTCTTTTAACATTACTGGGTTTTAACCAGTAATAAGGTTGGTACCTCACTTAAAAAGAACAGACAAGGTACACAGTATAGAACTAAAAATATGGTCCCCATAATGACATTTCATTTAGCTCGCTACAAAATAGGACAATAAGAGACCTTAGTAATTTTTTCTGTATTTGGTCACAGTCTTCACATCAGAAAGAGTATTTCCCCTCAAATTATTTCTAACATATTGATGTTTACTTGTGCTACTAAAATTAGTTCTGTAAAGGGAGAGATTACTTCAGATTTAACAGCTACTTCCATAAGTAATAGTTTATGGAATTAGTGCCATCTAGTGAAGACACAATAATGAAACAAGTAGGACTTGGTTAAGAAATTACTGAAATTCATACAGTTTTATGATCCAGAACCTGAAAAATGAAAGTAAATAAACATAACTATAGACTGCAATTATTTTATTTGTAGTCTGCTACCTTAATCAACTCAGTGCCCTTATTATATTTAGGTCATAAAGCATGGATAGACATTGCACAAATACCTCTGAGTAGTATCCAGGAAAACATGATACTTACCAGGATGAAGAGCATCACCCAAGTTAAAATCATCTACAAAGAAAGAGGAGAAGTTTTAAGTGTAATGCAAAAACTGAACTAGTCTTAGACTATTTCTACACAAAATGCACCTCACAATGTTTTCACCAAGAATGTAACAGCATGCTCGTTCAACAGTGGCCCACAGAGGAGCCCCACAGTTACCAGGCACTACTTGCCAAATGACACGCTGCTTTCGGTGATCATGATACCTGTCAAGGGCCAGCTCAAGGTGAGCAAGCTCCAAACATGCAGACTGAAAGCCAAAAAAAGGGATTTTCACAGAGTCTTCAAGTTCGTGAAATCACAAAGTACCTTTGTGAAAGCACCAGCAGGAGGCTCCAAAATGAAGAAATCTTTTCGCTGTTAGGGAACTGCTTTCTTTTATAGAAATATCATAACCCTGTGTGCCACTACGTTGAAAAGTTCAGGCTCTCAAATTATTGTGTACACTACACTTGACTTTCCAATAAAAGACATGACAAGCCAATTATATCCCACCTAAGTCCAGTGGGGGTGTCTTCTGAGATGGAAGGGGTTTCTTTGTTGTCGTTGTCCGTTCTGTCAGGGACGGTTAGAGAAAAAGAAATTAAATACTATTTAATACACTGTTCAGAAGCTACACAAAACACAAATATAAGTATATGTCAATACAATGAAAAGCTCGAGATGAAATCTATACAGCAAAACAATTTCCCCTTAAGAGAAATCCTTAAGTGTTCCAAAGACAAATTTGCGTTCTATGTGGTCAACATCTCGACATACCCATAGCTGAATTGTTCCACTGAGGTTTAAACCAAACATATGCAGGGAAGGTTTCATGCTTGGTCATGCAGTGATACTTGGAAACAATTCAGAAGAGCATCCACTATTTTCCCGCCTACCGCCCAAAATTTGTGAGTGCAATAATTACCAAATGCATCTTCTAAGCTGAAGTCATCAAAATTGCCTGTAGAAGAAAAAAGCAACAGTAAGGACACTACTTTTTCTTATTCAAAGCCAACACTTAATAAAGTCATAAACACATTTCTGATCTATCTTATGTTTTCTGCTTCCTGATTCAGAGTAGAATATTTTCAGTCAGGGTTAAAGGTATTCTTCTCTATTTCTCCAGATCACTTCAGAAAGATTTCTACAGATCTCTTCAGAAAAAAAGGAACAGCTCTAAAAATATGCTCTATAAAAAGGACCTACATGGCCATAACAGTCAATATAATGAACTTAATCCTTTATTCTTGCCACTTCTATTGCATGCTTTCTTAGTGCCATCCACAGCATATTCTTTTCCAGCCTTCTTTCCACTGAACCACAAAATGAGGAGGGTGACAGCTCCAATGCACAAGAATTTACAAGATTCAAGTGCATAGAAGAGCCTTGGAGCACAAAGGCCATTATGGAAGTCATGTGATCAAGTACTGCTTTTAAAATCTTGGCATTAAAAATTAATTTTAATGAGTTTATAAGACTTATCTTTTCCCCTAACAAGATTAGCACTATGAAGGTGGTTTAGAGATATCAGCACATATGATCTTGAGCAGTCTTTTCAACTTCCTAAAACATAGCTAAATGCAGCTGGTGCCACTATAGTCTTCATAAAAAAACACCCTCTCTTGCTGTATTAAAATCAGTTGCTAGAGCTACTGTTGCTTATCCAACCAACTGCAAACACATTAACTCAATATATACATGATAAAAACTGGTTTCACAGCATAAATATAGTAGTGTGATCTCAGTAGCAGAGGCTTGTAAAATAAATGGACAGCTAAAACAACTCTTGGGATATTTCTGATTGTTCATTATCCTTACTTGCACCGAAACATGGAATAAGAAAATGGCATGGAAGTAGGTAATGGCTATTCAAGAAGAAGACATATAAATACACTGCTTTCAGCCCCATAGAAGCTTGAAGACTTTTTCTGGATACTCCCTATCAAATAAGATCAAAAGTTATTTCCAGACAGAACTACCTGAATTCATAAGATAACTGAATAAAGCACTGATGTGTCTGGCTTTTGCCCTAAGAATGTAGCTACCAAAGAGGCATCAGAACTGGCTTCTGCAAAGTCTGAAAAGAGGAATAAAACACAAACATCAAAATCAAACCACAAGCAGAATGCCCTTTCACTTACATGACACACCAAGCTAAGACAAGGACAAGTCATGACTTTAATACCAAGAATGATGGATGCTCCTATACTTGGTGACATCTTTCCTATTAAATGAGGTCAAAATTGAAATACCTTTTACTTCTCAGGTAACTGCACTAATAATGCCTTTTTTTTTTCCCCGAGAAAAGACTAAGATACATTTCTTTTTCTTTTTTTTTTTTTTAATAGGGAAGCTCCGAATGACAACTGGAATGGAACAAAAAAAATCTGGCCAAGTGAACTGGCTACAGCAGAAACTGAAATCTGAAGTCTAAGCAGTGATTCCCATAATGTAACATTTGAACCAAGAACCACCTTTCTCACAGCCAAGTAGGGCTGCTTATCTGAAGTTGACATCATCTTGCAATACAATCTCAAAAACCTCTGTAAAATTAGAAGGTGTTGAGATCCCAATGTCAGTTACTTTTGAAGTTACCCCCTTGGTTACACCAAGAAACCTCCACATTAACAGGCAAAAAGAGGTCAGAACACTCAAATTTAAACAAGTATTTGCATAGTTGTTCCTCAACCCCAAATTCTAGTTTATTTGTTTTCTCAAGTACATGTATCTCTCAGGCTACAGTCCTCCTGGGAGGTATGCCTAAGACAGGACCTGATCAGATATTTCACAGTCTAAGAAGGCAGGCAGAGGGATCTGTTGAAGATGCATACTCCTCAAAACACTCTACCAGAGTAGCAACCAGAGGACAGACCATCACAAACTGTTTACACTATCTGTCTCAAAGTGAAAGATTTATCACTAAGAGAATGAACATTACACCGGTGGGTATATTTCAAGAGCCCTGTTTCTTTTTAGGAGAGATGACAGATGGAAAAACAAGCACATACACTAAACATAATGCTTTGGTGCAGCTGAAATTTTACCTGGAGCAGAAAAGAGGCTATTTGAAGAGTTTCCCACTGCCACCATGAAACATAGCCCAGGAACTCAGAATAGTTACACCTGCAGTGCTTTCCCTCAAAAGGAGGAAACCATTGTAAAAAGGGGTGCTTTCTAAGGGATTGTTTTCACATAAGATCTCCATGGCGAAATAATTTAGGATGTGACTGCTGACTGCCAGTCTCACAGAAGACATGCTGCTTTGACAGAGGAATAAACAAATTTGAGCGTTAATAAAAGAAAAAGATCATGCTTTATTGACTAGAATGATTCAATACTCTGCAACCACACTTTTGCTTTCTGAGCATGCAGCAAGATGCCAGGGTCCTCACACACATTACTTTTTTTGAGATAAAGTAGCAGAAAATGTCAAATACTAGGTTATGAAACTGGTTTCAATAATCTGCAGTCTAAGGTGCTGGCACTTTGAAGCAGCTGCTTTTACAACTGTACTTGCTCAGCCTTTGGTATGGGTGGGTCCAACTAAACTAGAAGTTCAGTGACTTAGCCTGAAAGGAGAAAAGCTCAGTTTCAGGGATTCAGCTCGTTCCAGGAAAGAAATAATCAGAAAACAAGAGATAAAGCCACAGAACTAGAATAAAGGTATTATATAAAGGATCCAAGAAGAAAAAAAATCAGCAAGAATACGCTGCACTCCCTATAGCTTTAAGGAGCACACAGAGCAACTCAGCTTATGAGCATTTTTTTAGTCTAAGCAAAGATATTTACAAATAAAGCAGATATTATATTGCATAGAAAGCATGACACAGCAGGTACTTCTAGCTCCAAGGGGCATGAGCATATTCAAGAACATTTCAGAAGTGTCTACACTATTTTCCTTTCATGTCTGTAGCTCAAATACCAGGATCTCAAGAGACGGGTCTTTAGAATGCTGTCCCTAGTAACCAGCATAGTTTGTGTTAGCTGCGGGAAAAACAGTAGTTAAAACAAAAGAGCAAACACAGGATTTTGAATAGTTGAAGAGCTAGAGGGTATTCAAGAGATCCAAGTAACTATGCAAATAGGAGTGCTTTGCAAAGACCTATCAGCGCTCTTAGATCCTTACTGCTACAGTATTAGTCATATTTACATTCCTCTGCAGAAGCTGACAGGAGCTTTGGAAACTTCCTTCATTAGTCACAAGTATGGCGACACACCAAGAAAGGAGACTTGTGATGAATCACCACAAACGTAACTTTCTGACTTGAGCAACAGGCTGCTTGAATTTTGTTTTCCTAAAAATGCAGCGTTCTCCTCCTTCCTTCCCTCCCTCTCTCCCTTGTGCACCACAGGGTGCCACAGAGCCTGCAAGCTGCAACTGGTCTTCCAGTTGTAGGCCTATGGACCAGGTGACAATGTTCACCTTGTCTTCATCCCACAGCTTGACATTACCTGCTACTCCATCAGTGGTTGACTAACTTACAATCATGAAATACCTTCAGTTGGAAGGGAGCCATAAGATCATCAAATCCAACTCCTTGCTCCTCACAGGACTGTTTAAAAATAAACCATATGAATAAGAGCCTCATTCAGGCACTCCTTAGAGTGTCTCTGTCAGGCTTGGTGCCATGACCACTTCCTTCCTGCCTTTTGCAGTGCTCAACCAGCCTCTCAAAGAACCTGCTCTTAAGGTCCAATCTGAACTTCCCCTGATGCAGTTTCATTCCACTTCCTTGCATCCTGTCAGTGGTAACCAGAGAATGTAGATCAGCACCTCTGCCTCTACTGTTGGCTTGAAGAGGATGTAGACTACTGTGTGGTCACCCCTTAACTTTCCCTTCTCCAAGTTAACAAACCAAGTGACCTCAGCCACTCCTACTGCATCTTGCCCTTGAGGCCTTTCACCATCTTAGGCACTCTCCTCTAGACATACCCCAATAGTTTGGTCTCTTTATTCCACTGAGGTTCCTAAAACTGTACACAAGGACTTGAGGTGAGGCTGCACCAGTGCAGAATAGAGTGGGACAATCACCAACCACCCTCAATCAAGCCAGCATTGTTGTTCTTGATGCCCCAGGGCACAACTCACCCTTTCTGGCTGCCAGGCTGCTGACTCATGCTCAACTTGCCATCAACCCAACCCCTCAGATCTCTTTCTGCAGGTTGCTTTCCAGCCTCTTGTCCCCAGTTTTTACACAGAACCAGGATTATCCCATCCAGGGTGCAGAATCTGGCACTTGCTCTTGTTAAATTTCATACAGTCTGTGACTGCCCAACTGATGTTTGTCCTGCTCCCTAGACACTTATTTTCATTAAATATGTAAAAATCTTGAGCTCAAAGAGGTCCCTCTTCCCTGTAGAGTTCGCACAAGGTTTGGCAGCCCTCTTCCAGGACAAGAACACTGGACAAGCCACATTCCAGGAAAAGCCACAATGACATAAACTCAGGAAACCAGGCGAAAAGCAGCTTCTCCAACTTCCAGAATTAAAACTGGATAACTGGATTTTATACTCTCATGCCTTGTGCTCCTTCTTCTCAGGGCACTGAAAACACAAGAAGTATAAATTTCCAACACCTAACCATAACAGAACATATATAAAATACAGAAAGGCCAACACATTGGAACTTGTTCAAGAAACACTTTAATATATGAGAACACAGACATCCCATCCCTTACAACTGCATTTTAAGATTAACAGCATTTGATTTCAATCCAGGTTTTGCCCCATTAGCATTAGTTATCTACTAATAAAGGACTTCTACTGCTCAGCTCACATTTTGACAATTATTTTCCAGCATGTCCTAAGGGAAAACCAGGAGGAGCAATTTAATTACAAAAAACCTGGGAGAAAGGCAACTTGGTTCTCCATATCTTACTCTAAGAACTGTATCTCTGAGGCTTTAAATGGAGAACCTGAAACATAGAAACTACTTGCAGCTAGGCAGGAATGGAGGAATGT